GAGGTCAACTTGATGTTGTCTGTTCTGCTCCAGAATTCTGCTGGTTATATTTCTCTTTGCCTGATCAGGGACTTTGATCTGTGCTTTGGTCTGGGCTCACTTTCTGCCCAGAATCATCTGTAAGGTAAGACAAGGTGCAGCCATAGTAATCCTGTTGGACGTGGCAGTTATTTCAAGATTGTACCAAAAGCACCAGAATGCTACATTTATTTCCAGATATTCTTCAATCTGTGTGGTATGGGTTTCACTCACTTTCTTGCATGGATGCTGCAGTGGCTTCTGGGATGAGTACCCTTAAAATGGTCTCTAGTAAGAAATATCCTAGCTACTAATAGGAAAGATGATGCAAGATACACCTATGTGGTTGAACAGGCAATTTTTCAAACTACTGTATGTGCTGAAGCAGGTATTCCAGGATGTCAGGATCTGAAATCAACTCAGGTTTCACCTTTGGCATATTTGCCCCTCACAAATAGAGAATTCCTCAGTGAGACGGGAATCTTACCAATCGGTAAGTTTTACAGTTTCTAAAGGGGTTTTATTTGTGATACAGTGTTCAAGGTGGGGACTTTCTCAGCATGGATAAAGATATATGTAATTCAGTTACGCATGTGCCGACTACAGCTTTGGCATTTTCGTGGCCCTAATATGAGCCTTAAAATTGACTTGGGGGATGTTCTGGCATGTTGAAAGTGAGCATACAGTTGTGTGACTCAGTTATCTTCTAACTTTATATTTCATTGTTTGTGCTGATAACTCAATTACTTGGGTATAAATTTTGTAGTCAGGTATATCTTTGTTTGGAGAATGAACAGAAATTCCTGCTTCCATCATTTCTCTCTTCGAGTGAGCAGAGATTGTATAGTTCAGACCTCTGATAGGATCCTTCACCTTTCTTCTGCAGGGTATAATACAAATTCTGGCCATATGAGAATCAACAATAATGTGCTTAAATTGGTCTCTTTGTATTTTGAAATCTGAGCATAAAATGTATTTTTTCAGGGCAGTATTCAAAATTATTAATACTTGATTGTGTTGAAGTTTTATATGAAGGAATTTGAAAATCTCCACGTACTATTTATTGGACTAATGTTGCAATACATTTACATATGTTTTGGAGTTTTCAGATGAGAAGTCAAAGATCAAATGCATGTAGCAGGAGATTCTTCTGTTGTTCCCAGTCAACTACGAATAAAATTGATAGTGGAGGATCGTGTTGTTACTGTCCATGTTGTTTCCCCATTTAAACAGAGACTAAGGGAGATACTCAAATTAGCACTGTTTTGGGAGTCATGTAAGATCCTTTTGTTTAATATTGTACCAGTCATTCACTGATTTACAGCAGGAGTTGAGGGGGCTTTGGCCCATTCACGAGTACGGTTTAGCGTAGCGGGCATGTTCCAGGTCGGGCACTGCAAGAGGGGCCCTGTGCTACACAGCCTCCCAGTCCAGATCATAACTGCATCTGGAGTTGTAAGCTAACTTCACTAGGCACTGCAAAGACATAACAGAAAGGTCTTGCAGTTAGTAATACAGGTAACACACTCCTGGTATTCAATACTGACTTGTTTCTGAATGAAAAGTTCATACTTAGTCATCCTATTGTTTTTTTCTTCCATGTTTAAGGGCAAAGCTTTATTTTACTTAATTGGGAGCAATAAGCATTGGTGAAAGTGTATGGAGTTGGGCTTTTTTGGTAGTCTGATTTTTCAAACGACACTGTCAAACATGACTATTTTTAAAGAATCAGTTATTTTACAGGAATGTTCCATTAAACCTTGCATCTAGATAGTTGATTGAAGAGGTCTATTTCACAAAATTCTGTGGATAACATTAAAGACTATCTGCTTTTTTCACGGAGTATGTTACGAAGCATACTTTCTTATCATTGGTATGCTAAAAAGTGTACTTGAATTGCAGTTTTAGCTTTGCTCAAATATTGAATTGGGTTTTTAAAGAAAAAAATTTTAAAAGCTGGATAGTATTAAATCTTCCTAATAAGCACGTCTCTCTTCCACTTAATTTGTGCTTTTGTTGTGGCTAACAAATAATTTGCTGTATGGGTTTTTCTGTACGCCATTGATAGAATATATAAGCTTGTCATCCTAGTGTGCTGGAAATGCTACACTCAAATCAAGTGTTCCTTTCTGGTTTTGTATATCCTCACCTGCTCCTCACTGTAAATCATTGAGATGTCAAGAGCAGTGATTAATTAAGCTGCACGTGCAAGTGCTTTTTTTCACCTGTCAAGTAGGAAGAAAACTTACTATAGTGAATTGTGTGATGCTGTTTAATTCATTTCTTTTTATTCCAAGCTCTGAGGTTTGCAGAAATATTTTACAGTCTCATTTTCATTAACATTTCTGTATTGATAATATGGCGTGATTTGGGAGTTACGACTATCCCAAATTATACTACAGGAAGGATTGTATTTAAGGCTCTGGGAACATAAGTAATCGTGGTCTCGAGGCTGCCTGTGTTTTTCTCTCATGCACGTCAAATGACTTTAAACTGGCTTCTTATTTAAATAAACCAATTAATAGTACATAACTACCTATCAATTTCTTATTTATGTGTATGTATTGTCATATATATGCAATTTTATTGGAATTTGAAAAGCTTGGATGTTTTCCACACTCTTTGGGGCAAACAATGAAATGAAATTGTATAGTGATCTTAATCTATTATTAAAAGGTCCTGGAAAGGAAGATTACAAGGTAGATTCAGGTTTTGAATCAGTTTTGCCATTGGTTTAGCAGCGGGTGGGCAGGCAGATGCCTGCTCAGAGTAGAACCTATTGCCATTTTTCACCATTGATAGAGTAGCCTTTCAGAGTCAATGAGCTCTGTCAATGTGAGCTTGTCAAGGCTACAACTTCATAGACCTGAGAGGCGGTTTGAGAGGTCAGCCCTTTTCAGGTTTGCTGTGATGCAAATGAACTTTAATGCTTAAACAACTATTGGAATTTTTATGTCTGCTCCTTGTTCTTTTTTCTTCACAAAGTCATTGACGAGACATTCAGTGCTTTTTAAATTGGAAGTTGCATTGTGCTAAAGACCTAGTACAGATTTACGGAGGGCTGAAAGCAGTTAGATCATGTTCTTTTCATGGTGCGATTAGAATCAAATCG